CCCTAATCCACAAATCCACAGTGAGGCCTCTGGTCAGAACCAAGTCTACTTAAGATTACTGAACAACACAACATGGTTCGAGGCGAGTGTGTGATTTAGATTTGATGTTTGCACAATGCTAACTGGACAGTATAAGCTTCTTTTACTTGTTAGCTTCAGAGATTACTGGCTGATCGACTACACTTGGAAGAAAACTGTATAAAACAGATTTTTCAGCGGATCACTTTAAGATCCACTAATTCAACTGATAAAAACAATTGGGAAGGTCTTGACTATTGATGAATGGGGTAAAGAAGAGGGGGTAACATATTATGCAATGGAACAGATGAACTACAGTATGTAATAGGGGTTGCATGACTTCCGATTTTTTAAAGTCGACAATTGTCACGCATTCGCCGGTATCACGGGATGATATGGACCTCATTACCCAGAACTCTCAGGACGATCACATGACTGGGCTACGTCCCTCTGACTCGGAGACTTCGACGGACTCCAATACCCGCAATCCTCTGGGGGATCACATGACTTCTGACAATGTCTCGCACTCCTATCAGCGCTCTCGTTTTCCTGAGTATTAACTATTTGCACCTGTTTTAGATCATATGATCAGGACAGGATAGTTTATAAGCCCGGGCTTTAGTGAAGTTCAGTGCGAGGTATTGCTTCTTTACGAATGTACTGAGCATTATTACTGATCACTTGTCTGCTGTGTATTTTGACCTTTCGCTTTGTTCTCTCGACTCTGCCTTTAGCCTTGCTCCTTTTTGGATACTGTTGCCTGTTATTTGGTGTTCTATGTTTTTGACCCACTGGACTGTTTTTTTGACTTGCCCTTTTGTCTTGCCCCTTGGTTTATTTTGCACGGTGAATTGATCATCGTTGTGTTTTGTATCTGCTGTTTGGGTTTGACCCATGCTTGTTTTTTGACCCAGCCGTGGCCAAACTCCATTAAAACACCTTTCGCCCTTTTACACCGCGAGCGTCTGGATTCTGTTGCGTTGTCACAACAATTATGTTGTCTTCTCTGAGGTGTCCATATTGCCAATGTCATAATCACATGAATAGCAACTAGTCAACATTAAGCTTTAAAGCATAAGCTTAAAGTAAAGTCGACAAGTCGATTAGTCTGTGCAACCCTTAGTCCAGGGGTCGGCAACATGCGGCTCTTTTACTGCCCTGTTGCTGCTCTGCTGATCGTTCTAACACAGTTTGAACACTACATGGTCTTAAACACTGGAGTTAATGTAGAACTGCTAAGTCACCCTTTAACCCTGAAGATTGGCATGCAGACTGTTGGTCACCCTAGCAACGCAGAAAACAATCTTGGCCAGACAAAGAGAAAGATTTAATATGAACATCGATAATTCAGAAACTAATGGAGTTATTTGTGTTTATAAGCACCCCAGCTGGTTTCCTGATATGTTTAATCTCCAATGAGAAACTGTCAAACACTAAAAAGTCGCAAAGCTGAAGTCAATTTCTTATTTAAATTTTCCTGTCTCACCTTAAAAGTAGTTATGTTCTGGTGCCTCAGGCACCACTTAAGGTGGGACAGGAAAACTTGAACAAGAAGCTGGTAAATAAGAAACGACTTCAGCCTCAGAAAAAGTTGAGACATTTTACAAGAAACTGTTCCACTTTTGGAAAAGTTTCCTGCCAGAGATGCGAGAAATGCAGCTTTAGCTGAGCTGAAGCTTAAAGCAGAGCAAAGTAAGTCTGCACTTTCTTTTATGTTTTATTTTTTTACTCTATACTAGCAAATTAGCACATACTGAGACATATTTACAGCCAAGGTGGTAAAATGGACATAAAATGTTGGGGCTCCCAAAATGATTTTTGCTAAAAGAATTAAATGGCTCTTAACATTTGCGTTGCTGACCTCTGACCTAGTCTGTCACTGTAGTACTATAAAGTGCACCTCTATGGTAAGTGGACCTGATAAAATGGACAGAGTGTAGATACAAGGTCGGGGTTTCTAATAAAGTGGCCAGTGAGTGCACCAAGGCCGAAAATGTTACTGAAGCTTACTGCTAGGGTGTTGCAAGGCTGTTCTTATAAGCAAAACATTAATAAAGTTATCACAGATGACGGAGATCTTTCCTGTATCTTGTAATGATGGACAAACAAGTAGAGTGGCTAACACTTGCACTTGTTCAGGAGGGCTTTGTGAGTAAAACGTAACAGGAGTGTTGCAGTAACAGTGTATAGCGCTTAATTTTCCCTTTTATCCCTAATAAAGAAGCTAAATCACTATTCGGCCGGGTTGATTTATATGACATAAAGAAAACAAATGCCAAATAAATATTATAAAAGATTATAAAAGATATAATGAAAGTTCTCTAGGAGTCATGTCACTGGTGTTACTGAGTAACAAAAAATCACACTGATGACATCACTGGACTTCCTTTTACCTGTTTTCTGAGGATCTATGAAGAAAAGCACATGGTGAGTCCACTGTGTCTTTCAGTTATCAGAGATTTCTCATTTAGCTCATGATTTCATATGAAGCTTTTAGTTGAAGTCACTGGTGTGACCGACTTTATTTTTAGGTAATTTTGAAAAAAAAAAAAAAGAATACAAATGAATTAAATTACATATTTTAGCAGATATTCCATGATTGACGACATGTGGTTTGATGCTCTTTAGCAGCCATTTAGTGAAATGCATTTTTCATTAAAAATGTCTCTGGTGTTACCTTTATTATGTGTAACACCAGTGAGTACTGGTAACACCAGTGACTCCTATGGAGAGATAGAAAAGTGGACGTTTCTGTAGAATGACCCAGGTGCTTAAAAAAGCACTTGCTTGTCTCTGTGGCTAAAATCAAGCTAACATGTACTGTCCGACCTCAAGAACATTAAAACTTAGAATTTTCAGAAAAACGTTTGATTTCATGCAGTGATGTTGACAGTAGCTTGTGAATTCTTTAGTCTTGTGGGGCCAAATCTCGAGAATACATGTCTACCTGTTAAGCGTTTGGTGCTGGATCTCATTATGCCTCCTCTAAAACCAACCCCCAAATCCCTTTAGTCCAGGGGTGCCCAATCTTAGCCACAGTCGGTGTGGCTGCACCCACACCAGCCCTTTGCGGACAAGACCGGACACCCCACTCTCGTCTGTGCTCTTTTAATGTCTTTGGCTAACGGAACTGTTTTTCTATCACAAGAGGTTATGTGTATCATTATTGCATGTAACGTGTTCTCGGCACAGGCGAATCACATCTACATACTCAACTGGAGTTATTAGAGGGACGAAAACTAGTGATGATGACGTCCGTGGTCCACATTACAATGGCAAGCCTAAATCACACACTAGCCTCGAACCATGTTGAGTTGCTAGGTCATTTCAAAAAGACTTGCTTATGTGGTTTCTGACACTATGACACACTGTTATCTATGAAAATGAACAACAGTAGGTTGTACTTTTCTGCACTGTCACACTATGTCTGCTCCTTTGTCCAATGGCATGTTATACAGTGTCAGAAACCACATAAGCGAGTCTACTTGACCTGACTTAACAACTGAAAATGGTTTGAGGCAGGTTTGTGATGTAGGCATGATGTTTGCATAACGCTAAATGGAGAGTTTAAGCTTTTTTACTTTTCTTCAGACGCTTTTTTTCACTATGCCATCAAGCTTTCACATCAAGCACTACTTAAGGTTCAGCTGATCAAAGAGAGAGAAGAGCAGGTATCAGGAAATAAAATGAAAATATAGTTTTTTTTACATGACATTTGTAGTATGTTTCTAATAAATCTGTGCATAACAACTTTATTTTTAATTTAGATGGGGAATATACATTTCTACTATTCCTTCCTTTGGGAGGCTTAGTTGTAACACTGTGTTAAAACGGTAACACTTTACTGTAGGGTACTGTTCATAAGGCTACATGACACCTACATAAGCTTGTCATGATAACTGACATAACCGTACATAACTGTTTATTAATGCTTATTCCAACACGCGTCATTTGCTATAAATGTTAAATTGACCAATTTTGATGAATGTCAGCTAAAGTAGCCTGTATGACAGATGATGCCTGTTGTACTAAACACTTATGAATAGTTGTGTAGGGTTATGTCAGTTGTCATGACAACCTTATGTAGGTGTCATGTAGCCTTATGAACAGCACCCTATAGTAAAGTGTTACCGTTAAAACTAACTCCACCATGTGGAGGCCGTACTTCAGCCTGGCTATCTCCCACCTTGAGTTGTTTATGTGTGATATATTACGGCCACCAAGAGGACAGTTACAATAACATGGAACTTGTTCACACAGCTCAGTAATCAAAATAACACTTATGATGCAAAAAACTACTTTTATGGTACACAAAACAAAAATATCTGTGCAAAGGCTTCAAAATTCACAGATTACGATACACAATAGATTTTGTACCTGAATGTTTTTAACTACATAATCGCCTGATTAGCTGAGCTGATCAGCAATTATTTTCCATAGTTGTTTGCTTTCACAAACATGTTTATGTTGCCACAAACATAAAGGGAATTGGGTGTGTTTTTATCAGCAGGGTTGAGGCAAATGCATGTAAATAAAAGACACGTCATGGGTTTTACGAAAACAGGAGAAGTTCTTTCAGAGGTGCTGTAACACCTTTAGAGGGCAGTGGTGAGTGATGTTTTTTTATTTGATTTTAAGCTGTATCTGTCGTCAGTTTGGAGCTACTAAGCAAGACAGCTATTCAGCCAATTTGGCCCCTTTAGCTGCCAACAATGAACAAAAAAAAAAAGTTAATCGCAATTACATGGCAATCAACCATCAGCTAAAATTTTATAATCGTGACCGGCCTATTTTATCTAACTGTTACCAAAAGACAAAAATGTGTTATGGACCAATTGGTGAACTATCCCTAGCTGGAACAGAAGCTGGACCAACTCCACTGCTTTACTGATAAAACAAAAGGTTCTGGAATCAACATGTTTTTTAGAGAGGAGGGGTGTACGGGATGAAGGCAGTGTGGAGAGAGACTGATACAGACTCACTGAGGACGATGGATATTATGCTGATTCCAGCCAGGCTGAATCCAGTCATAAAGCGAAATGGTGCAAACATCACAAAGCTAGTAGAGAAGGCACTGGCCACACTGAAGACTATCGATGAGACATAGGAGACCAGCAGCATGTTCTTGCGGCCATACCTGCACACAGAGAGCTCCATTACTGAGAGGCCATTAATACACCGTCTTCATGCTGTGATGAAACACAACTGCCTTTGGCAACTCTGACTGCATTGATATGAATTGAAACTGATGCCCCACTTTAAGTTTAAGCTTAAAAAACAAACTGAAACACCAAAGCAATTACAACAAACAGAGCAAAACTGTTTTCAGTGTAAGACGCGTTCTCATGACAGCAAAGGGCCTAAAAAACGGGATGAACCAATTAAACTGAAAGTTTTATCCATGATTATAAAGGGAATTATACTTCTGTAAAGATTTTTTGGGGTGGTGGGGGTGGGGGCACGAGACCCAAACCAGAACTAGCACAAATCAAATCAAGCAGTTTGAGAATCACTCAGCTGAAGAGGACGTTCCTCTTTATATACTGTATATTAGATTTTTCACCGTAGCCATAAAATGCATTTTCTGCCAGTTTTGGCAGCTTTTCAGAATTTTGCAAATGTAAAATAATGTTGATACATTTCAAAGGAAATGTGCACGAGTAACAGAACGTGGCTGGAGGTTAGGGTACCAGCCTAACCTCCACAGAGCAGGTACTATTTGGGTGGTGGATCATTCTCAGCACTGCAGTAACACTGACGTGGTGGTGGTGTGTTAGTGTGTGTTGTGCTGGTATGAGTGGATCAGTCACAGCAGTGCTGCTGGAGTGTCCACTCACTGTCCACTCTATTAGACACTCCTACTTCGTCAGTCTACCTTGTAGATGTAAAGTCAGAGACGATAGCTCATCTGCTGCTGCATAGTTTGTGTTGGTCATCCTCTAGACCTTCATCAGTGGTCACAGGACGCTGCCCACAGGACGCTGTTGGCTGGATATTTTTGGTTGGTAGACTATTCTCAGTCCAGCAGTGACACTGAGGTGTTTAAAAGCTCCAGCAGCACTGCTGTGTCTGATCCACTCGTACCAGCACAACACACACTAACACACCACCACCACGTCAGTGTTACTGCAGTGCTGAGAATATGCTGAATCAGAAATCAGAAACATTATTCAGCCTTGACTCAATCCACTCAAAGCTCTGTAGTTAGACTAAGATAGCTGGGCTGGCCTCAGAAATCAATGCAAAACAGTGTGACAGCAGAACAGAATGGTCCACCCTGAGTGTGATGCAACAAGCAAAATGGCAGGTGAATAAGACTAATGAAGCCTTGAGGAAAGACAAACACAGACAGTTTTGATCCATAAAAAAAGCTAATCAGCAAAGAAAATGTTGAAATTGACTTACTTGTCAGTAAGGATGCCAAAGAATACGGCTCCAAACATGACACCAATGAAGAATATGGTGGCCGAGGCTTTGTTTAGTCCCTTTGTATCACAAACCAGATCAAACTGGAGGGAAATGTAATACGACAGACATATGAAGGACATTTGCCTTTATTACAAATACTCAATCAACATGCCACACATGATACACACCTGGGTTGCCAAAGTTGATTTAAAAGTGCTGTGATCATACTGCCATCCATTCTGGCACTGGACCACAGGAAGTTCTGTGGTGTTAGACGAGTTCTCTAGCAGGTGGAACTGAGGTTCTGAGAACATGTGACAGGAATCAAAGGTTCCATCTTCATGTTGTGGAATACTGACAGTCAGTCTCTGCTGCCGAGTCAGATTCTCAAAAACACCATCGCCGTCCAAAGAGCTGATGTCACAGTGGTGGGACGGGATGGCGGCAATAAAGTTATGCATCAGGAAGTGACCCGGGAGGGTGATGCGGGGAAACACCAGCAGAGCGACTATGGCAATCTGGTAGCGTCCAAACCCATCTGTCTCAGCCAGAATGTTCTCAAACTTCATTTTCTCTTATAAAATCAATCAATCAATCAATCAATCAGTCACACAGGCAAGCAATGTACAGTGGACATCTGGACATCACATGGGTTCTTTAGAAGAATATAGTAGATGTTACTTCTTGCAGAATATTTGAATGTTCTCTGAATTAATCATAGACATAATAACAGAGTGATGTATGGTGTCCCACAAGGTTCTGTTCTAGGGTCTCTTCGATTTCTCCAAAAACCTGTTATAAATGTGAAGTTTATTAATAATAAAGATGAATGTATTGTTTTCATAGCGCTTCCATGCATCTAGGTACCACCCAGTGCCTGTAATGAACATGTCAGTTTGAGGACACCATGTCTAATACAAAGAAAATGTGTTTGTCCACCAGGCAAACTCAAGTCAAAGTCTGGTGACCTTTAAATCAGTAAACCAGTTTGTGGTGTACGGCTCCACAATTCTGTCTCTCGTTCATAACTTACATATTAGTTTTGTCATAGTTACCAAATAATTTATAATAGTTACTGAATAAAACTTTTTAAGATTAACAATTGAATAAACAGGCCTGGAGTTCAAGAGGGTAACTTCACAGCAGGCATTAGGCCATAGGAGGCAGGGCCTACTGCCAGGCACAGCTGTAGAGGGACTTGGTAAGGCTTTTAGACAGTTTTAACGTGTTAACTCCATCGCAGGCGTTAGACCACAGGAGGTAGGGCCTGCTGCTGGGCACAGCTGTGGAGGGACTTGGCAAGGCTTAGAAACAGTTTCACCTTTGACCACTGAATTAAAACACTGTAAACATGTTCATATAAATGCGTTCAAAGGCTAAAGCTAATAAATCTGCCTTGCGTACAGTGTTTACTGAACGGCTGGTAAAGCTGCTTATATCTATCAGCTGAGGAAAGACTCACTTTTAAGATGTTACCAATATTACCTTTGTGCTCTGTATAATAAATGAGATGTGCTATAGGCCTATAGGACAAATGTATTAGCATCCCTCTGATCAGTGGGGAACCATGACTTTCAGAGTTAGGGCTTCAGTTCAGGCCATAAATGTCAAAACTCAGTCAAAAAAACGAGAAAAAAACGTTGACAATAATGCTAATTTCCACTAGCGGCCCTATGGGATTCCTAATAATATTTTAGCCCTAAACTAATGCTGGTGAACATTTTGTGGCCATTCTAGACTAAACACGGATATTAAGCTTCCATATGTTTTATCTCAGACATTAACAGACATTATTTTATTTTGTATGTAGCACTTTTATGATGTCAGAGCTGCTGCCACTTTTTGCATTTCTAATAAACGACAGAAACCTGGTTAGACTGTGGCTCATATTTGCAATCAGTGACGTTATCTAGAACCTCCAGAAGTGACGTTTTTCCTCAAAAAACTGGCCCTTCCAATTCTAAACCAAAATTGGTTGATTCTGCTGTTACTTTCTAATTATGTTAGTGGTTAATCCGATACATTAGGCCTGCAGTTCAGCTCCTGAAGTCCTAACCAATGGGAGAGTCTGCTTGGCTGTATCTACTTAAATACCACAGAGGAAACATTCTGATTCCATTTTAAGATTTTAACGCTTTTGTTTCCAAACAAAACTTATCAATACATTGGAACACTGAGGGTTCCCCACTGTCTGTGAGGAAACAGCAGTTTTCTTGCCTGGAAAAGCACTAAAATTACAGTATATACAATAAACAGTGGAATAAACAGTACAATTTTATGCGTATCAGTGTCAATTATTAGCTTTTTCATTTCCAGACCTCTCCTAGGGACTTCCCAGTATTATTAATTACAACCCCATTTCCAAAAAAGTTGTGACTCTGTGCAGAATGTTAATAAAAATAGAATGATATGCAAATCATGTAAACCATATTTTTAAAGGAAAATAGTACAAAGACAACTTATAAAATGCTGACACTGAGAAATTTTATTGTTTTTTATAAATATATGCCCATTTTGAATTTGATGCCAACAACACATTCCAAAATAGTTGGGACGGGGGCCTGTTTACCACTGTGTTTCATCACCTCGTCTTTTAACACTCTGTAAGTGTTTGGGAACTGAGGAGACACTGCTGTAGTTTTGAAAGCGCAATGTTTTCTATTCTTGTTTGATACAGGATTTTAGCTGCTCATCAGTTCAGGGTCTCCTTTGTCGTATTTTTCATTCCATAATGCGCCAAATGTTTTCAGTGGTGACAGATCTGGACTGCATTGCCAAAACATGTATGTATCATTCAGCATTAACTGTGCCTTCACAGATGTGCACGTCACCGATGCCATGTGCACTAATGCACCCCTATACCATATATCATGAATACTGACCTTTGAACTGTGCACTGAAAACAAGCTGAGTGGTCTTTAGCCCAGAGGACACAGCGTCCATGATTTCCAAAAGAATTTCAAATTTTGATTTGTTGGACCACAGCACACTTTTCCACTTCACCTCAGTCCATTTTAAATGAGCTCGGGCCCAGAGAAGGTGGCAGCATTTCTGGATCCTGTTTATATTTTGTTTCTTCTTTGCGTTTTAGAGTTTTAACCTGCATTTGTGGATGCAGTGATGAACTGTTTTCACAGACAGTGGTTTTCAGAAGTGTTTCTGAGCCCATGCAGTGATTACCACTACAGAATCATGTCTGTTTTTAATGCAGTGCCTTCTGAGGGCCCAAAGATCATGACCAGCAAATACTGATTTTTGGCCTTGTCCCTTGCACACAGAGATTTCTCCAGATTCTCTGAATCTTTTAATGTTATTATGTACCGTAGATGATGAAAAGCAAAAGTTCTTTGCTATTTTATGTTGTGAAACGTTCTTCTTGAATTATTGCACTATTTGATCATGAAGTCTTTCACAGAATGGTGAACCCCTCCTCATCTTTACTTCTAAAAAGACTCAGCCTCTCTGGGATTCAGCCTCTACGAGCATATATTTAAAAATAAAAACAAATAAAATTTCTCAGTTTCAACATTTGATATATTGTCTTTGTACTATTTTCAATGATATATAGGGTTTAAATGATCTGAACATCATTGAATTTACTTTTTATTAACATTTGCACAGCATCCCAACTTTTTTGAAAATGGTGTTGCACTACCTAATATCTGGTGCAATTGACACCTTATAAAGTTACACTACATGAACTTAAATCAGGTGTGCTGCTGGTGATATTGAATAAACACATCAGCAACAGCTGTGAGGCATCAAGGAAACCAGGAACCTGTTCATCTAGCCAACTCACAACACAGCAATAACTCTACTGATAACTTCACTGAAATTCTTGTTACTTTTTACTATATTCATATTTATGTATGTTTACTGTACAAATATAGGTTGTAAAAAATGTAAAAATAGGTTTAAACAATTTTCTGGCTGGCCTAAGACAGTTTGCACAGTACTGTAAGGAAAATGTATGCATTAAAGAGAATTCCACTGATTTTTTTGTTCAAAATTTCCAATTTTTAATTGTCATTAAGTCATTCATAGAGGTTTGATGTGAAATGGTTTGTTGTAAAGAAACTTACCTTCTTTACTGGTGGTGATAGAAACCAGGGGTCACAATATCTACAACATAAATACAGCAATTTTATTTGCTATTCAAATGATAATGTTGGTGATGGTAGAACTGTGATAAATCTAGCCAAAAAAGGTTTCTTTGGGTGCTATTTTGCCTGACAACACTCTGTGTAGATCTCTCTGCCATGGATTTTTTTAAAAACACACCAGAATCAGATCTCAAGTCTATAGTAAAACAATGTAATAACTTTCTGTGAGGGAGTTTTTAAAGGCTTTAAACTCTTCAGACGTCTGGTTGCTATCACCACCACTGTGAACAATCCTGTTTCAAGTTTCTTTAAAGCAGAGCATTTCACATCAGATCACTCTGAAGGACTTTGCTGCATCCCCCTCTATGATGTTAGAGGTTCAGATCTATAGTTGAATCTATATTGGTTGAATTTTACAAAAAATAACATCAAAATTGTAAAAGATGAGACATAGTTTATAAGAAATAAAATAAAATAAAATAAAAACACAAAACAGACCCCCCCCACCCCCTCACACAATTTTTGACCACATAACGTCTGGTTTCTAGCCATTGCAAACTTGGCATACTCTGTTCCTAACAGCTATGGCTCATGTTGAAGTCTTTGTTTTCTTTACTGGTTCTGGGAAGCTGCAGATGTTTGAATATAATATATTAACCTGACAGCCACAGGTCCTGAAGATGCTGAATCTACAAGATCAGGGGTAATAAAACACTTTATATCTGCATTAACCTTCACACATTTTATCTCTGTCAGTCAGCAGCACTCTCATTTCATACTTAAAGGGGAAATTCACTATTTTTTTTTCAAAATATCTGAATAACTCAGTGGTTGAGATATAAACAGAGTCAATCAGAGTGGTCTGATGTGAAACGGTTCATAGTAGAGAAACTTACAGACTCGGATTTCTTTACTTGGTGATAGTAACCAGAAGTCCCTATGTCTACAACATAAATACAGTGTCTTGTGCATTGATGATGGTTAAATAAATAAATAAATAAATCCAAGTAAAATAAGTTTTTACTGGGGACTATACTGCCTTACAACGCCCTGCTTGTATCCCTCCTCTATGAATGGATTAAAATAAACCGATCAAAACACATTTTAAGCCAAAACTTTATCACAAAACTATCATAAAACAATGTGTTAGACATCAGGCAACGTATATCTAACCAATTTCATGTAATAATTCTCTTTAGGGGAGGCATTAAACTCCTCAGACGTCTGGTTCCCATCATCACCACTGCGAACAACTCTGTCTCTGCACATTTCTCTAGAACAGGGCATTTCACACCAAACCACTCTGAACGACTTTGTTTACATCTTAACCATTTAATTATGTAGAATTTCTGAAAAATCGGTGAAGTTCCCTTTTTAAATTTGAAGTTAAGCCCCTATTTATGTGGGAAGAAAGAGTGAGAAAGAGAGAAAGAGAGAAAAGAGAAAAGAGAGAAAAGTGACTCACCTGCAACGGCAAAAGTGCCCAAGCATTCCAAAAGACTCTGAAGAGTTGGACAGGTTTCCCCTCTAAGGAGTGCAGAGAGACTTAAAAAGCCACTTAAAGTGAATGGATTAAATTAAATGGCCTCTGTTCTCCACCTGCAACTCCAGAGCAGAGTCTTTTCAGTATCCACTCAAAGTCTCGTGGACTCCCTTTGCACAAAGCCTCGACCAATCAACTCGGAAAGATTTGCATATTCAGATATAGGAGGCTGCGCCTCTCTTCTAACGCACAGACGCGTTAGCTTGCCCTTCTGTATTATGTGGTAAAATTGGTGAGATATTTATGAGAAATGGGTTCAAAATAACAAACCAAATAAAAAACTAACAAACTACTAAAAACACTGAAGCACGGTGTTGCGCCACGCTGTGATTAGCATACCAAACGGGATTATTGCGGTTTTGTCCACCCGTATTCTGGCATGCCGGAATACAGGTGGGAAAAAACACTCGACCAAAGTTGACTTCTGTTTTTTTGGCCTTTCCAGCGAACCTCGAAACACACTTCTCATTATCGCCGTGGGGATTCACCATTAGCACTTTCTCAAGTAGGATTACTACAATATGGACTGACAGTGGACTAAGAAAACCTTGAACTTTGCAGCCACAAAACGGACTAGAAGCAGAAAGAGAACGACAGTCTGCATTTCTGTGAGTTTAAGGATGGGAAATGTAGCCAAACTCTAACAGAGAACGCAAAGGAAAGGACATGGGGGGAAAAATGACAAGGGGTTTTTTCTATAAAGGGTTAAAAAACCTGCCTGCTTACAAAATGACGATTTTTTTTTCTTAAATCAATTTTCTCAGGATAATCACCTCAAGATAATAGTCTAGACATCTTCTTTTGACATGCAGGTTATTCTTTAAACACTTTACATGCTGCCCATACAGCCATTAAGTTGTCCAGAAAGCTGTAGCTGCTCTGGAATAAAACACAACAGCTCAGATAAATGTGTGTAAATCTTCCTCTGAAACAGTTTTAAAACGTTTCAGATGGAGCTCTGATATAACAGTGTCTGTTGGCGAGCACTGAAAGTGAGACCGAGTTCCTAATAAAGTGCAACACAGCGGTCAGTTTCCGTTAGAATAGTTCCAATCACAACTTCCAGCACCCCTGAAAACTGGACAGTGGGCTTGGGGAGGTAATAGTGAGTGGAATGCTGCCTAAAAGGCGTATTGGTGCCATCTACAGGTCAGAGTGGGTAACGCACTTAAGTATTCTCTAGATATCTTGAGATAATTATCCCAAGAAAATGATCTCGAGATAATTATCCCAGTTATCTTATCCCAAAAATTAGCTAGAAGTAATTATTACTTTGAGAAAAAAATCTCAGGTCATTTCACAGGCAGGAGGGCTTTTTTTCTCATTATAGAAAAACTAAATTTTTTTCTCCATGTCCTTTCAGGGGCTCTGTAGAATAATAATATGCCAATAAGGGAAATTACATTTTTACATTTTTTATTTATATTTATGATATTTTATGACATTTAATTCTCTATTTCTGTGTGCATGGTCGCTCTTAGTGGAGTCATGAGTTATTGAAGACCAAGGAACTACAAAAGAAATGGAAGATTATCATCTATTTGAAGGAGATGAGGAGGGTGATTCCACTATTAGGGGGCATTTAACCCTTTTAACCCTTAAAAATTGAACTTTTGAAAAAAAATTAAAAGTAAAAATGAAATGTTTGAACAGTGAATTTCAACATGCATTTAGTCATTCCACAAATCTGTTAACTCACCTCACGAGCAATATTTAATGACATTTCTTTGCTTGTCTTAGAGCTACAGATTATTTTTTATAAAATAAAGAAGTGGCATTACTAAGTCATTAGAATAAAAACATGGTAAAATACGTTGTGTGCACTGCTGTGATTCACCCTGTAATGCCTGTAATAGTCATTTATAAGTCAGAGGCGTCAGGCCAGGAATGTTTTGTCCCACATCGTACGTCTTTACGTATTAATGTTACATGAACAGCCTCGAAAAGAAGGTCAAAGAGAAGCTTGTTGTTTATACTGATGAAGATATGATGACTGTTGTAGGTAATTCAACTTGCAGCCTTGAAGACACAACCTTCACCAATGTGCGACCGAGTTCTCTCTCAATTCTCTTCACTCACAATTATCACATTCATCCACCTGGTGAAGGGGTCCAAAGCTCAAGCAGCATCACAAAATGTTCTTCCACATGTTGTGTGCAGGTACACATTTGCACCAGAGAGGTCTCCAAATCTCCAAATGAGTTTTTCCAGCTTAGAATTAGTAAATACACAAAATGCAGTTCTACTGGGCTGGGAAAAGTAAAAATGACATTTTCTAAAAAGGTTTCATTAAAGCTTTTTTTATCTGAAACATGCATATGGGTTGTTGTGAAGGACACTTTTTGTTTAAAATGTCTTTTACCTTTACATATCGCTGTTGTCAGAAGAAAACCTTATATCTTCATTTTTGTCGTTTTTCAGTTTTTGACATAATTTGAAAATGCCTGTTACTCTTTACATTGTATGTAAATTTCATGATGAATAAAAGAAACGGCTGAAAATGACTTGGAGAAAAGTCTGGTTCCATTGACTTACATTAAAAGTACAGTAGGGTTTTTCCTTCTCCTGTAAAGTTATAATTTTGGAGATACAAGGTTTTCTTCCAACAACAACGATATGCATTTATAGATGCAATATCAGTGGGACAACAAAGGCAACCCAATTGTGGAATCAACCAGGAGTACTTTAGACTTTGGATCTGGTGTTTTCTTTTAACGTATTACTGGTGAACTTCACTGAAAGACATCAAAGTATTTCATGTCGCTTTTAGCAAAGTGTATCTATTTAGTGTAAAGTAACCTAATAAAAACACCACAAACCTGTTTTTTTAACATTGAGTGTGTTTACATGCACTTAAAAATCTGATAACTGCAGAAAATCAGATTTTGTCAGTAATCTGTTCAACACGTTTACATGCACTTGAGTAATCAGATAATGTGAAACTCTTGGTCTACATGAATCAGACAGTAATCGGATTTCTGCTTTGCAACCAGCCAATAAACTCACAGAAGAAGACGAGACGTAAACATAACGTAAAACTCGAACTTCATGGCGTTTTTTTTTTAACATTGCGCTACTTTACCTGAAAACATGAACAAACATCATTCAGAAGATGAAAAATATTTAAATCCTTTATTTCGTGTTTGGTTTCAGCGCCGCTCCGAAAGTGTTATGCTGCGTCTCACGACATCCACCATCTGATCTCGCACATGCGCAGACGGAGAAATCCGAAAGAAATCAGAGTAAGAGTTCACATGCACTGAGAAATTAGATTACTGGGCTAAAATCCAGCTCTCTTTATCAGATTTCTTAATCGGATTTCTAGATCAGAGTATGGTGTTCGCACGACCATTTGAATAATGTGATATCTGCAGAAATCAGATTATGATCGGATTACTGAGCGCATGTTTACGCACTCATTGTTCTTCTTGTTTGCGAAGTGTGAGATGCTGGTAAACAGAGACAAGACATACAATCAAAACACTCATGTGGCTTCTATTTATTGATTGGCATCGCTGATCATTTGGATAACCGGTCAGAAAGGTTGTTAATTCAGATAAGCATCAGGTCAATCATGATTCTGTTACGAAACTCGCGGTCATGCAATATTCTCTCCTCGTCGATGGAACCACAAAGGAGAGGGCAATACTTGGGGATGAAACAAGAACTATTTCTGTTCTGTTCTCATGGTGCTTTCTCCACGTTTTGAATTGCCTCAGTTTATCTCTCCATCTTCCATTCATAGCCAGAGAGAGAGAGAGAGAGAATCTTCAGGAACATTCCACCAACAGAACTCTGGAACTCTTCTGTGTTCCCTTCACATCATACGGCATGCAACTGTTCTGCAGCAGAACGGAAACCGTCCAGTAAGAAGCACCGCCTTTAAGGTTAATATGTGTGCACACGCCTCATAAAACCAGAGCGAATTGACTTATATTGGTTCCACTGTTTTCCACCATGAGGACAATATTGTGGGACAGTTGCGTTGCATCAGATCACAGGGCAAAAAGACCACCACTGATAGAACAAGCATGTTGAAACATTCGCTAAACTGTGATAAGCTCTTACTCTTTTAATCATGATAAAAAGTCCAATAGCCGCTGTTTCAGCCTATATTATATACACTGATCAGGCATAACATTATGACCACCTCCTTGTTTCTACCCTCATTGTCCATTTTATCAGCTCCACTTACTATATAGGTGCACTTTGTAGTTCTACAGTTACAGACTGTAGTCCATCTGTTTCTCTGCATACTTTGTTAGCCCCCTTTTACCCTGTTCTTCAGTGGTCAGGACCCCCATGGACCCTCACAGAGCAGGTACTATTTGGGTGGTGGATCATTCTCAGCACTGCAGTAACACTGACGTGGTGGTGGTGTGTTAGTGTGTGTTGCGCTGGTCTGAGTGGATCAGACACAGCAGTGCTGCTGGAGTTTTTAAACACCTCAGTGTCACTGCTGGACTGAGAATAGTCCACCAACCAAAAATATCCAGCCAGCAGCGTCCTGTGACTACTGATGAAGGACTAGAGGATGACCAATACAAACTGTGCAGCAGCAGATGAGCTATCGTCTCTGACTTTACATCTACAAGGTGGACTGACAAGGTAGGGGTGTCTAATAGAGTGGACAGTGAGTGGACACTGCTGTGTCTGATCCACTCAGACCAGCACAACACACACTAACACCACCACCACGTCAGTGTTACTGCAGTGCTGAGAATGATCCACCACCCAAATAGTACCTGCTCTGTGAGGGTCCATGGGGGTCCTGACCACTGAAGAACAGGGTAAAAGGGGGCTAACAAAGTATGCAGAGAAACAGATGGACTACAGTCTGTAACTGTAGAACTACAAAGTGCACCTATATAGTAAGTGGAGCTGATAAAATGGAAAACTAGCGTAGAAACAAGGAGGTGGTCATCCAATATTATGCCTGATCGGTGTATAACTATATGAACAAATGGGGGCTGAGATTTGTGCATATTCTATTGAATATTGAATATTTTGTCAAATTACTTCCAATCACTACACAGTTGCCCTATTGAATGTAAAGATTTGTATTTTTCACTCTTGAGCATTTT